AGGATAGATCGCATCGTCAACTTCGGTAAAATACCGGTTAACGCTATGTCCTACAGAAAAAGACAAAACAGAACAAAAACACATCTACATGCAGATTCTAAAGGCGTGTATCAGGTACGAAACGAATCATGTACTGGATTGTAGATAGTCAATACGGGATTTGTACCTCTCGTAAAAGAGAGAGATATCGTTGGGCCCCTCGTGTGAGCAAGACTGTAGAAATGTGTGGCCGCACTATAGACGAACGTCGTCTATTTCAGACAGTCGAACTCAGTGAACGAGAAAGCAGTCGAATCAGATAAGGTGGCTTGTCCATGCCTTATGTTCGACATATGATATCGCGATACAAAAGGATCATCAGTCGGAATCATCACTGGCTTTCGTATGATCACAAACAAACTCTATTCGAGATAGGTAGTCATAGTATCTTGCTAGAGACCGTCTATGACTTGTATTACCGGAATGGAGATTTTGCGTTTTACTGCTATTCCGGATGAGTCTACAGGGTCACACACAATAGGGATGGACAAGTACGTGTGCTAAATTATCCCGATTAGGAATCCTAATTGGATTGAGATTCCTAATTGGAATAGGAATCCTAATGGGATTAGGAATCCTATTATGTATAGGAATCCTAATGAGATTAGAATTCTATTACATCTAGGAAACCTAATGAGATTAGAATTCTAATAGGTTTAGGAAACCTAATTAGATTAGGATTCCTAGTAATCTATTCCTTGTCAAATTAGGATTTTTGGAAAGTCTATATAAGGAGAATGTCTTCTAGGGTTTTAGGTGAAGAAAAAAAAAAGAAAAAAAAGAAGAAAAAAGAAGAAAAATAAAACCCTAAGCCTCCAAAACCCTTGCACACAAGAGAGATCGAGCTCTCTAGTCCTAGCAGACAAGTTCCAAGGTGTTGGAATCCTTCCCGACGTGTGGATACGTGTAGAGGGCGAGGTATTCTTCCTGCCTAGAGTGATCGGACGAACAGATCAATTGATACAGGCCCCGGATCGATTGAGGTAAGCGTTCTAACGTTTCTATGATTCAATAGTAGCATGGTTCTAGGGTTTCATTAAAAATTTTGTTTTATATCCGCTACGCAAACCCTAGAATCGATCTCTTAGGAATTAGATTCGCTCATGAGATCCCAGGAAACCCA